GCTGGTTTCCCAGATATCAGACTAGGGTCCATGAGCTCCCCCTTGTTCATGTCAGCTCATTCTGTGGGTTTCTCCAGCCAGGAGTTCAGCTATGTTTAGCTGTGGGTGTCTGCTTCACCTTTTTAGGCCTTTAACTTATATAGGAAGCATATTTTAGAGAACAGTGTAGATGACTATGGCTATCCCAATAATGCTTTCATATAGTTTCTAAGACTTTGTAATTTGAATGATAGGAAGGAGAGTGAATTCCCCTGTTAAAAATATATGACTATATCAGGTGACCATTATTCTCAATGTTATTTTTGGGGGATTCCCAACAGACAAAATACAGCCAATAGGGTGAGTATAGTTGATTACAAAAACAGACATGATTAACAGATACCCTTGCCACTGGGATATTATATATCCCTAGACAAATATATACTTGCTTCCTCAAAAAAACCCATGCAAAGAAAAGATTCAGAAGGGGACCTGCTTACCAAAGACATGAGAATCCAAGGCACCAAAAAAGAACTTTAAATCTTGTTCTTGTTCCCTCTACAAAGACAGAAATAATAAAATAGAAGATGTCTTACCATCTCAAGTAAGGATTGGCTTTCAGGTTCAATGATGGCTTCCTTTCAAGTTGCTGCTGCCCAAAGTATTCTGAAAAAGGCCTTACTTTAACAACTCAGATAATCATCTGCATACCTCAGGTAACTCTTGACATAACAGTTAAAAAGCATCACTTTTCTTTTCAATATTGGGGTCTTTCTCTTTATCAATAAGCCAGGGTCCCCTACTGAACAAACCTATGTAGCAAGTAGTTTTAATTGGAATGCCCAAAGTCAAAGTAGTTAATATCAGTCATAGCCTAGGGAATTAGTGTTATATGACCATAGATGAAACATAGCACCCTGCAACCATTCAATAATAGTACTAGTTAGGCTATATCTCTAAGATGGCGAAGTAGAACATAGTGCTCACTTATGGCTAGATAATACATTTCTGAAGTCCGGACAGCAATTAGGCTGAGATTATGTATAACCTTATGGTAATAGCATACCTCTGTCCTAGACCCAATATCCCTCATGAGTCTACCTCCAGGCAACCATTACTGGAAAAAAGTCCTTAAATTTTAACTTTGTTAGATAGTAAACTCTTAATTTATGTTATACAATTCAATATTTTACCTGCATGTATGCATATGCACTATGTTCGTGGCTGCTGACTGTGCAAGTAGGAAGAGGGAATCATATCCCCTAGAACTGGAGCTGCATATAGTTTTAAGCTCTCATGTAGATACTAGGAATCAAATTCTGGTCCTCTATGAGAATAAGTGTTCTTAACTGCTGAAACTATCAGAGGTGGACAGTTTGTTTTAACTTTTAGAGATGTAACTTGAGAGCCATAAATGTCCTATATATTCTGTGGTGGTTTGAAAAAGAGTGGCCCTCATAGGCTGATAGATTTGAATTCATTGTCATCAGTGATGGACACCACTTGAGAAGGTATGCCCTTGTTTGAGTATGTGTGGCCTTGTTGGAAGAAGTATGTCATTGAGGGTAGAATTTGAGGTTTCAAATGCCAAAGACAAAAGCTTTCTCCTCTGATGTTTGTGGATACAAATGTAGAACTCTCGGCTACTTCTCTAACACCATACATGCCTGTGTGTTGCCATTCTCTCCACCATGATAATTATGGACTAAACCTCTGAAACTGTAAGAAGGCCTCAATTAAATGCTTTCTTAGAATTGCCTTGGTGATGGTGTTTCTTCACAGCAACAGAACAGTTACTAAGACAGAAGTTAGTAGCAGGGAGTTAGGTGTTACTGTGATAGGACTAGTAATTCTCTTGTTGGAAAAATGAGGACTTTCAGAATTTGGATTAGGAATATATATGAATGCTTTAAGTGGGGTTTAATGGGCCATCCTAGTAGAATCATGGGAGCCAGTGGTGCTGACAACAATGTAGATTATGATGGTAAGGCTCAAGAGGTTTTAGAGGAGAAGAATATTAGTAAGTGGCCTAGAGATTGTTTTTGTGATATTTTGACAAACAATGTGGCTGCTTTCTGCTTTTTTTCCCAAATATATGCTGGAGACTAAATTGAAGAGTTTCAGATAAATGGCTTTGGCAGAGAAAATTTCAAGACATCCTCACATTGATTGTTGTTTGATTATTAGCAGTCACTATTATGCCAATCTATAATGAAAAGTAACAAACTAACCAAGGAAAATTTAACAAAATGTAGAGTTTAATAAGAAAAAGAGAGCCTGGAAGTATTCTAAGTCTAGTGCTTATAGAAACAAATGTTCAAAGAAAAGCCTAATGCTAAAAGGAAAAATGGGAGTTGTGGCCTCAGGACAAGACCACACCCAGTTAAGCTTCCAACTTTTTAAAAGAAACAAGAAAAGCTTGATCAGTAAAGGAAAACATCAAAAACATAAATAAAGCTCCTGAAAATGTATTTGAATGAAGGGTACTTATTCCACCTCCCAGGAAGCAGAAGAACATAGAAGCTTTGGCCATGTGGTTCTGGATTTAGAGGCAAGAACAAGAGAAAGGAAATACACATACCAGAATCTCCCTGAGTGGCTAAGGGAGGATGCTAAGGCTAGATATGTGCCAGGGGTGTCCCTGCATGGAGGTCCTGAGATAGCATTGCATGGAGCTATTAAAATGAAGCCTAGGTTTTGTTGGAAATCCCAAGATGTAGGAGATAACAGAGCTGTGGAATACCTGTCAAGGTGAAAATAATTCTCAAGATTTTAAAGAGATAGTAAAGTCAGGGAAGGAAATGTCAATTTTTAAACTGAGGATAAAAGGGTGTGATACCTGGAATTTAAAATATTTAGGAAAAAAGAAAAATGTATTAAAAGGGATGAGAGTAGATGGGGCAAATTTACAGAGTAAAAACACCAAAATATTTGAGTCTTATAATGTATTTGTAAATCCCTTACAGCATTCTTTCAACTAAATGTATTTTAGAAAAGTTCACATGGTAGAGGAAAGCTATTATCATGACATGGAAAAAAGGTCTGCTTTTGTGTTTCATATTGAATTTAGAAGATAATGTGAGAGGTAATACTAATTGCACATATATTCTTTTGATGGCTATTCTTAGTTGTCAATTTGACTACATCTGGAACTAAAGCTCCAAAATGGAGGGCACCCATGAAGAACTTTTGCTAAATCTGAAGTACGAAGATCCATTTCTAATCCATATTTTTGAGGTTGGAAGTCATAGCTTTTATCCATATTAGTTGACCTGGAAAAAGCATGCCTTAAATAGAGATCTTGAGATGAGATGACACACATTTAATCCATATTTAATCTGTGCCACCCCTTATGCTCAAAGGCTATGTAAACATATGGAAGAGGGAAGCTTGCTAGCAAGTTTATTCCTTCACTAACATTAGAACCTACTTTCTCTGTGTACTAACATATATTGAAGACCAGTTAAGATATCCACCCTGTCTGTGGATTGAGTAACTATTAGATCCTTGGACTCTGTTCATACACAGCCACTATTTGAATAGCTTGACTTCTTCCTGTAAGTCATTCTAATACATACATACATATAGACATATATACATACATATATACATACATATGAGAGGAGAGGGATTCACTCTGTAAGTTCTGCTACTCTAAAGAACTGATTAATACAATTATGTTTACTGATTATTTACATTGATCAACTATAATTAAAACTTAGATTCTATAACACAAACTGAAGAGTAGGAAACATAAAACATAAAACTAATTGTCAATCCAATTAAGTAATGAACCAAATAAGAAAGAATGCTAGAAGGTGCCATTTTGACATTTTCTGTCATAGGCTACTGTGAGTAGAATTTGTTGTCCTTGTGAAATCTAGGCCAAGAGCACAAAAATCTTATTTCTCAACCCCTCCCCTCCCCACCCTACACACACCCTGTTCTTGCTCCTGATGCTGCCACCAAGAAATTTGGACTTTTAGGTTATGCATGCTGTAAATTTATTTTCAAACACCAGGAAGCATTTCTCTTTCCGAGGTGGGACAGAAAGAAATCAAAATTATAGCACTTAATAAAAACAGTATGGCTGCTATGCATGCCACACCCATGGCACTTCCTGCTCTTTGAGCATATACAAATAGTGGCATTTGGAAAGAAGGCAAAAAAGCTATTCCCTCTTTGCTGGAGACAGAGAAGTAATTACACATAACAGCAAGAAAAATAAAGCTGCTAGCAATAGTGTTGAGAACAGCTGAAATGACAAATGGATTGTAATTGTCATTCTTCTGTGGCTTCTCGCTGTAGACCTGCTGAAGAGCAAAGACAGCACAAGCTGTTCCAACCAGACCGATTATGCTGGCAACTAGGAGCAGATGTTGAGCTACCCGGATATCCAAAGGAACAAGGGTGTCACGGTAGGAGTAGTGATGACAGACTCTCAGGTGGCTGGAATCGTCGGCATGGTGGCAAATACAGGCTCTCCACATACCTACAAAAGCCATGCTTGGGAGGGAAATCATGGGTTCTTCCAAGTACAAAATTCGCCATTGTGGAAGGCCCATGGACGTGTTGCACATTATCCATGCGATGGTGGCCAAGGCAAAACCTCTTATTTGGTGATTGGCATCCGTGGTAAAGAAGACCATGCTAGCATCAAATATATGGTAACTGAAAACAAATGAAGAACGATTTAAGGAATGGTGGTCTTTCTGGGCCTTAGACGGTGCCTCTTCGGGGAATAGTACATAAATCAAAATCTTTTGTTTGGAAAAAAAATCAAAACAAAATAGGCCTTTCTCATAAAGATCTGCTGCTGGGAATGTGGTCTGGAAAACCCATAGAAGGGTCTTGTGACAATATTTAATGAGAATTTCACAATATCAAAGATTAAATGATTATGATGCAGTTTAGTATTTGTTATACATTACTTTAAAGGAAATCCATTCACTAGATCTAACTAGTTGACAACTGATATTTTAGGAACTAGGAGAATCTTTACCAGGAGGTAAAGCTTCAATGAAGAGAAAGTATTAAGCACATACTGTAGCATAGTTTTATTTTTGCCTGTCATGTAATATGTTGAAAAGATACAAAGTAAGATACTTTTGAGTTCTTAGCACTTGTGTGTGTGTGTGTGTGTGTGTGTGTGTGTGTGTGTGTGTGTGTGTGTGTTTGAAACACTTTCACTAGGCAGAGGATGCAACTTATGCCTGATACCTACACTGAATTGCAATTTCAAAATACCCACAGTAGTATGAGAACCCAGAGGATAGCAAGTGTGGATTCAGTTAAATGAAGGATAATAAAGAAGAACAAATCAAATTCAACTTGTGTAGAACAGTGATGCCTAATGATTCTAGAAAGTGTATCATGGATGGAGATACAGGGTGAGCGATTTTGAAGGCTTTCTATCTCTCCCAGTGGCTAGAGCAACCCAAGAAGAGAGCATATCAATAACCATCATTCTCTTTAATTGGATAATCTAGATCAATTGTTTTCTGGTGTTTTTGAAGCTGCTGTCTACCATGAACCAAACCTACCTTTAATAAAGAAAAAGTTGTTATGAGATAAATTCTTGCTAAGATAATCAAATTGACCTTGAAATACATTTTCATTGTTGCTGGAAACTGTTTTACTTGAAATATTGCCTCATTATACATACAATATGTTGGCCTCAAATTCTCTGTATAGTTCATACTGGACTTAATATTTTTCCTACTTACCCCATCAGAAAACTAACATTACTCTACTCAACTATCAACATATTCTACAAACCAGTTTGTCCAATCCAGAGCCAGTCTTCATGACAAAATTTCCAAAGGAATAAAGTACTGTGTGCCCAGTATGCTGGGTAAGATGCATAAAGCAGTTAAAGAAGATCACAAGGACTAGTGTGATGGACTGTCTTGTATGTGAGGGATGTCAGAAAATGCAAGAGAAATGCTCTCAGAACAGGATACTGCTTCAAGTATTATGTCACAGAAAGAAGTGGAAACTGGGGTGATTTTAATATACTTAAGAATACTCATTTTGGAGCACATTCCCCATAGAGGGATACTCCTTTAACCTAGAGGCAGGAGGTCAGGCCTAATCCCTACTCCAAGTGACTTGACAGATTTTATTAAACCCTCTTGGAAGGCACCACCCTCCTTGTGGAGTGGATGGGGGAATAGGATGGGAGGGTGGCTGGAAGGGGGGAATGGGAAGGAGGGAGAGAGGGAGGGAGAAAAATAAAGAAATAAATAAGGACTGCAAAAAATTACCAATTTCAGAAAGTGGTCTATACTACAAGATGAGGAAGTTCAAGTTGCTCAGCTATCCTAGGTGAAGAATAGAATTGCCTCTAAATACAAGAATGTGACAGGTACAGCAGCCATAGGGCTGATACAAATCAATTATCAAAATGGAATCTTGGAACACACATGCACATGTACACAAACACATGTATACCCCTATACATATAAACACAAAGGTTTTCTGTGCACATTGACTGACAATAAGGATGTAAGATACAAAACTCAATATTACAAAGCAATGATTATGTCCACATGAAAGCACACCTGCACTTGGAACCCATTATCAAGTCAGGGTTTGTAAATAGAAGTAGATCTGGAATGACGCAGCAGGACTGCATGTAATTTACCATTTGTGTGGGTGATTTCTACTAAAGATTCAAAGATTTAGAAACAGAGACAGAGCTATACAAAATAAACATAGACAGAGATACAGAGACAGAAGCACAGAGTACTGCCCCTACCAAGCACTATAAGAAAGAGTAAGTAGATCACACTGAATTTTGTAAGCTCAGAAAAAAGGTTCACATTTAAAGTTCAAAGTTCCAAGTTCAGATTCTATTGAGAATCATCTTTCTTTCATATGAAATTGAAGCAGCATAACTCAAATGATCCATGCATTTTAGTTGGGGAAGCTGAACAATGGTGATGGTTCCACATCACTGTGAATTTACTTATTGCCATGGAACTTTTTATGTAATAGGCATTCATATATATATATATATATATATATATATATATATGTGTGTGTGTGTGTGTGTGTGTGTGTGTGTGTGTGTGTGTATGTATGTGTGTGTGTGTTTGAGTGTGTATGCATATATGTATACACATAAATATATTTAAGCACATTAAACAGAATATACAACAAAGAAGGATAGAACATATACTAACCAGCAATGCTGTCTTCACATTAACCAATGACCAGTATTGGGGGTGGAATGTCTATCTGGACCAAGAGAGCCAAGAAGGACACAGAACTACTCAAGTGTCCTTCTTAAATGTGTGCTCTTGGCCACATTAGTGAATTAGTGAAAGCTCTGAGCCCTACTTTATGTCATCATATTCCTGTCCTCTGTGACATCACTATCCCTCCCTCCCCCCTCCCTTCCTGACTCACTTCCTCTCTGCCTCCCTATGATGCTCCCTCCCTTTCTCCCTCTCTCTTTTTCTGATCTTTGTCCCTCTCTCTTTCTCTCTCCCTTGTTCTACCCCTCTCCTTTCTTTCCCTCTCCCTCTATTCTCCACTCTCTCTTCTCTAACCCCTTCTATTCTGTCTCTATACCCTCTCTTGTCTCTTATCCTCTTCCTTCTTTCTTTCCCCTACTTCTCTCTCCATTTCCTCTCTCCTTTCTCTTTCACCCTCCTTCACTCCCCCTGTCCTTGTATCTCTGTCATCTCTCTTCCTCTCTCTCTCTCTCTCATTTGCCCCCTTACCCCATCTGTCTCTTTTTCTCCCATTGTCTCTCAGTTTTTCTATCCCTCTCTCTTCCCCTAATTCTTTCCCTTTCTACCATCTCCATCTTTCTCTCACTCTTTAGCACTTTTCTTTTTTCTCTCCCACTTTCTCTCATAGTCTCACTCTCCTTCTCTACTCCTCTCTGTTTCTCACTCCATTTTCCTGACCTTGTGGGAAGAACAGGGTAGGTATAAGAAGGGGAAGAGAGAGAGAGAGAAAGAGAGAGAGAGAGAGAGAGAGAGAGAGGTGAAAATTGGGAAGAGGGAGAAAGGAAGACAGGTACAGAAAGAGAAATATGGAGAGAGAGATGGAGGGAGAAACGGGGAATAAGAAATGTAAAAGATAATGAAGGAATAAAATGGCAAGAGAGAGGGGAAGTAGAGACAAAGGCAAAGAAATGTGGAGATAGAAGGAAGATGTGAGAAAGGAAAGAGAGGGAGAGATAAATGAGAAAAAAAGAAAGGGTAAGAGACACAATGAGATACAGAGAGAAAGTTAGTGAGAAAGACAGGGAGGAAAGAGAGAGGCAGAGAGAGGAAGACTGTCAGAGGAGTATAGAGGTAAGGAAAGTGAAACAAGAGCCAGATATAAAGGGGGCAGGAAGGCTGTAAATAGAAAGGGAGAGAATGCAGAGAAAGTTGAAGAAAGACAGAGAAGGGGGAGGCAGACAGGAAGTGAGGTCAGGAGGATAAGGAGAGGGAGACAAGGAGAAGAGAGAAACTAGTAAAGGGAGTGAGGGACAGCCATGAAGAGAGAAGTTTGGAGTTATCGAGTCTCATAGAGTGAGAGAGTTAGGGGTGAAGAGAAACATGGAAGAAGAGTGAGGTAGAAAGGAGAGAAGAAGTAAGATGACTAAAGAGGAGATAAGGAGAATAAAAAGAAAGAGTGTGTGTATGAGAGAGTTGAAGGGTAAAGAGAATAAGTGTAGAGAGATTAAGAGAAACAAAATAGGAGGGGAAGAGAGATGGGGTAAAAGAAGGAAAGAAATTGATGAGTAAGTAGAGAAGTGAGGAGAGCAGAGAAAGGCAGGGTAAGACAATGAGAAGTGGGTAGTGTGAGAGGGAAAGAGAGGAGATTGTGACATTCTTGCTCTTTCACCCTTCTGGAACTTGTTCCCTTCTCAACACCCCTCCACTCTCTTTGTACATCTTTTAGTTTTCTCTCCAATTTCTTTTCTCTGTATCTAACTCTTTCCCTCCACTTATGTTGCCCTATCACATTCTGACTCTCACACCCTTTCTTCCTATCTCTCACCTTGTCTTTAACATCTCTCTCCAATCCCCTTACTCTCACTATCTTTCTCCTCCTCTCTGTCTCTATTTATCCTCTACCTTCCTCCCTTTTTATTTCTTTATCTCTTCCGTTCTTTCATTCATGTTCCCTCCCTTCTTATTTTCCAACTCTGTTCCACATTCTCTATCACTGACTCTCTTACCCTCTCTATCCCTCTTTCTCCTCAACACTCTCCCTTCCTTACTTCCTTTTCTCTGTGTTCTATAAACTTCTTTGTACCTCTCTTTTCCTGTTTCAGTCTTCTTTTCTCTCTTTTCTAACTCTCTCACCCAGTTTTCCATTTTGTCTCTCTTCTCCTTTCTCTTTCTCTCTCAACTTTCTCTTCTTTTCCTTTCAGTTTTTCTCCATATCCAGATCTGTCTGTTCTCCTATCTATATCCATGGGCATCTTGTTCTTTATAATAATCTCAATCACTTCATCTCTTTCCCTCCCTCTTTTTTTCTTCATGTTGTACTGTACTTCCACTCTTCCTCCTTTTTGTCTCCATTTATCTCCTTCACTCTTTCCCTCCATCCTCCCCTCTAACATTCTTAACTTCAACTCTCTCTCCTTCATCTCTCATAAGAGGGGGAGAGGGGGGAAACAATGAGAGAGAGGGAAGGAAGGAGAGAGAGAAGG